TTTAAAAACAACTGACACTTGGGAAGCAGGAGGCCAGGGTCAGGTGGCTGAGTGGAGCAGACCAGAGGAACCAGGGCAGGCTTAAGAAGGTGACACTGGAGCAGAGGGACACTGCAGCGGATGAAGCAGGTGCTGGTGTGTGTGAGGAAGAACCGGGAGCAAAGGTGGCCAGAACAGAGTGTGGGGTGAGGGAGGAGAGGTGGAGGGGAGGAGGAGGGGTGGGGGAGGAAGGGGTGAGGTCAGGAGTCTGAGGATTTGGGGACAAGGAGTGACACAATCAGATCAGACAAGTCTTTAGTGTGTGTATGTATGTGAGCACACGCATGTCATGGCACACATATGGAGACCAGAGGGTGACTTCTCGGGAACTGGTTCTTGCTTCCACCTTGCTGAGGCAGGATCTGTTTCTGTTGCTCTGTGCACTCCAGGCTAGATGACCCACGAGCTTCTGGAGGACTGTCCTGTCTCCACCTCTTGTCTCTCAGGAGTGCTGGGATTATACATGCACACCATCGCATCTGGCTTTTTATGTGTGTTCCGGGAATGCTTTTACTTATCAAGCCATCTCAAGGTGGGCTGACATCTGGCTTAGCAGGTACTGGTGCTTGCTGCCAAGCCTGACTGCCTGAGTTCAATCCCTGGGACCCACATGGTAGGAGAGACTGACTCCCACAAGTTGTCCTCTGACCGCCACACACGCGCCATAGTGTAAAACCTCTCCCTGGGGCTGGAGAGATGCCTCAGCAGTTAAAAGCACTGACCTGGGTTCGATTCCCAGTACAAGGTGGCTAACAAGTCCAGTTCCAGGGGATCTAACACCCTCTTCTGACCTCCATGGGCACTGCATGACATGGTACACATACATGCAAGCAATATACTCATATACACAAATTTTTTTTTAAACAGCACTGTATGAGAAAAAAGATATGTAATTGACTCATATGCAGTGAAGGCAACTTGATACACCTGGAAGGGGGACCTCAACCGAAAACAATTCCTCCATCAGATCAGTCTGTGGGCAGGGCAGTAAGAAATGTCTTGATTGCTAACTGATGAAGGGCCCAGCCCACTGTGGGCAGCACTATCCCTTGGCAGGTGGACTTAGGCCGTATAAGGTAGCTGACTGTGAGTGAGCCTGGGAGCAAGCCAGTAAGCAGGGCTCCTCCATGGCCTCTGCTTCAGTTCCTGCAACCAGGAGTTCCTGTCCTGAGTTCCTAGTGGTGAACTATTGAAGTGTTAACTGCAAGAAACCCTTCCATCCCAAGTTGATTTTGGCGAGTGTTTTCTCAGAGCAACAGAAAGCAAACTAGGACATCTGCTTTGGATGATTTAAGCGTCCTCTGTGGGTGTTCATGGAATGAAGCTTGGTCCCCAGTGAGCTGGTGGCTAAGAGGTAGGGCCTAGGGCTGGGGATGTGTGTGATTCAGTTGATGGAGCACCTACCTAGCATGCACAAGGAGGTGAGTTAAGTCTCCAGGACCACATAAAACCAGGCACGGTGGTACACACCTGTAATCCCAGCTCCCGGAGGATCAGGGATCAGGAGTTCAAGGCCTAACTTAGGGTGATGGTTAGTTAGTATTGTCAACTTGACAGGATTGAGAATCAGTCAAGAACATGCCTCGGGGCATGTCTGTGAGAGATTTTTCTAGATTACATTAAGGCAGGAAAACATCCCCTAAACATGGACAGAATGGAGTGGGGGTGGGGGCTGGGATTCCAGACTCAATGAGAAAGCACCAGCATTCCTTTCTGCTTCCTGACTGCACACAGCACAACCAGCACGTCCCATCCCTGCCTCCCCATCATGAGACAGTACATGAACTGTGACAAAGTAACCCTTCCCTTCTTTGAGATACTTGTGTCAGGTAGTTAAAAAGAACTTTTTAGTACATTTATGTGTGCACAGTGTACATGTGGAGGTCAGAGGACAAATTGTGGGAATTGGTTCTCTCCTTCCACTGTGTGGCTCTCAGAGTTCAAACTCAGGTCATCAGGTTTGGTGGCAAGCACCTCTTGGTGGGAGAGTTTCATCACAGAAATGAAAAAAGCAAAAACACCTTTTTAGTACATTTATGTGTGCACAGTGTACATGTGGAGGTCAGAGGACAACTTGTGGGAATTGGTTCTCTCCTTCCACTGTGTGGCTCTCGAGTTCAAACTCAGGTCATCAGGTTTGGTGGCAAGCACCTCTTGGTCGGAGAGTTTCATCACAGAAATGAAAAAAGCAAAAACACAGGGAACAGAAAACTCTAGAACAAATTAATACAAGTTAGAAAATGACAACTGAAATAATTAGCTTCCAAGTTAATATAAGTATGTATCATCTCTCCTGACAAAGGCCCTTTTAAGCCTCCTATACCCTGAATCACATCAATTCCCCTTTCTAAATAAACTCCCTTTCACATAACTCTCCAAGCCAAGCTCACTCAGGAACAAATCAAAGGTCATCTATCTGCTTTGTAAGAATTTCCCCAAATGAAGCTGCACATGGTGGCACACACCTTTGATCCCAGCACCTATAAGTTCCAGGCCAGCCTGGTCTACATAGTGAGTTCCAGGCCAATTGGGGCTACAAGGAGAGACCCTGTGACAAAAAGACAAAAATAAATAAATGAATAAATAAATGTAACAAAACATTTTACAAGCTAAAATGGGGGGAGTAGCTAGAGAGATGGCTAAGAGCACTGGCTGTTCTCGCAGAGGACCCAGGTTCAGTTCCTAGCACCCACATTGTAGCTAACAACCATCTAA